AACCAATCTAAAAACATTGGAGTAAATGTGAAAGGTTTAAAAATCCAGTTTTAATATGTAAGGGGGAAAGATTTTAGTTATATTGCATTCTTCTGTAATGCCCATCGTCTTTAGAAGAGTAAAAATTCTTCACTGAACATTTTTTTAAGGTAAATATTTTATCGAAGAACCACATACATACAGAAGAGTACCTAAATCATAATTTATGTGTTATTACAACATGAACACACTCATGTGCTCGGATCATGGAACGACATCCCAAGCATCTGAGAATTTTCCTGGTAACCATTGTAACTTAGTTACCATAACTACTCTTGACTTCTAACATCAGAGGTTAGTTTTGACTTTGGAAAAATTTAATATAACAGGATCTAGATTGGGGAGAAAAAGTTGTTGTAATATATTGTTCATCATTTGCCTTTCAAGCAAATGTCTTCCAAATATTTCCTTTTCACATGTAGATGTTCAAGTTCCCTCAACTAAGATGAGGGCAATCCCTGGATGATAGGATGATGATGACAATGATGATGACAAAAATAATATTAATTTTAAAACACTAATTGAGATTAAGCAAGCTACTTACCCTCTCTGTGCCTTAGTTTTCTCCTCTAGATGATGGTAATGGTAATAGTAATTGTACCTTGCTCACAGAGTTGAGGTAACAATTATAATGTAAATGTAAACATGTAGAGCACTTAGCATGGTGCTTACTATGTAGTAAGGGCTCAACTGTGTGTGTGTGTGTGTGTGTGTGTGTGTGTAATAAATGAAGTTGACCCAGAAGAGGGCGAGATGTGTTATTAGATTTTTTTTTAAAGATTTTATTTATTCATTCACGAGAGACAGAGAGAGAGGCAGAGACACAGGCAGAGGGAGGAGAAGCAGGCTCCTCGGGTGGAGCCTGATGTGGGACTCAATTCTAGGAGCCCAGGATCACAACCCAAGCTGAAGGCAGAAGAAGCTCAACCACTGAGCCACCCAGGCACCCCATTAGATTTTAATATTATCCACAATTTTATTTTACTACTGCATGATCACACAGATGGCAAAAGGCTCCACTGTGTGGATGAAAGGTCACAAAGTCATTGGGTAAAGAGGCATTTGCTTTCCTTGGTAAGTAGAAAATCATATATGGTATGCCACTGAATCAGAGGAGAAAAAGCATAAGGAGAAACCATGTGGCTGAGTTGACTCCAATTTTATTTCTAGACTTTGATCAACCCGCAGAAAGTGTTTTATTTTTTATATTTTAAAGATTTTATTTATTTATTTCACAGAGAGAGCACAAGCAGGGGGAGTGGCAGCCAGAGGGAGAGGGAGAAGCTGGCTTCCTGCTGAGCAAGAAGCCTGATGGGGGCCTTGATCCTAGGATGCTGGGATCATGACCTGAGCTGAAGGCAGACACTTAACTGATTGAGCAACCCAGGTGCCCCAAGAAAGTGTTTTACATTTATTTAAGAAATATGTATGGGTCATATAACACAAATAAAACTAATGAAATCTGAATTAAGTCAATGGATTATATTGATGTTAATTTCCTGGTTGTGATATTGTGCTACGGTTACAGTTGGTAACACCATATGTTACCAGCTGTGTGAAGAGTGTATGGGCTCTCTTTGTATTATTTCTTAGAACTGTATGTAAATCTATAATTATCTCAATAAGAGTTTTTTTAAAAAAACATACTAATGGAGCTACATACTTTGAACCCAAGACTGTTCTATGCTCAAGGTTCAAGGAGAAACAGCAGGGATCCCTGGGTAGCGCAGCGGTTTGGCGCCTGCCTTTGGCCCAGGGCGCGATCCTGGAGACCCGGGATCAAATCCCACGTCGGGCTCCCGGTGCATGGAGCCTGCTTCTCCCTCTGCCTGTGTCTCTGCCTCCCTCTGTCTCTCTGTGACTACCATAAATAAAAATTTAAAAAAAAAAAAAAAAGGAGAAACAGCAAAACATATTCCTGCCCTCAAAGAGGATGAAGTAGGAATGAGAAGGGACTTTGAAATAGCTTTTAGAAGTACAGGGGCACCTGAGTGCACTTACAGGTGGATTTTTTTAAGATTTTATTTATTTATTCATGAGACACACACACACACACACACACACACACACACAAGAGTGAGGCAGAGACACAGGCAGAGGGAGAAGCAGGTTCCACATAGGGAGCCCCATGTGGGACTTGATCCCGGGTCTCCAGGATCATGCCCTGGGCCAAAGGCAGGCGCTAAACCACTGAGCCACCCAGGGATCCCCTACAGGTGAAATTTTTTAAAAAGATTTTATTTATTTATTTGACAGAGCACAAGCTGGGGTGGGTGGTGAGGGGTGGGGAGGGAGTGGCAGGGAGAGAGAGAAGCAGGCTTCCTGCTGAGCAGGGAGTCCAATGTGGGGCTTGATCCAAAGACCCTGTGATCCTGACCTGAGCCAAAGGCAGACACTTAAGTGACTGAGCCACCCAAGTGGCCCTACAGGTGGATTTTTTTCGATAAACATGCTCTACAGCACTGTAAATGTATTTTCCTTATGACTTTCTTAACATTTTCTTTTCTCAGGATGCCTGGGTGGCTCAGTGATTGAGCATCTGCCTTTGGCTCGGGTTGTGGTCCCAGAGTCCTGGGATTGAGTCCCACATCGGGCTCCCCACAGGGAGCCTGCTTCTCCCTCTGCCTGTGTCTCTGCCTCTGTCTCTGTGTGACTCTCATGAATAAAGAAATAAAATCTTAAAAAAAAACAAACCATTTTCTTTCCTCTAGCTATTTCATTCTAAGAATACAATATATAATATAATACGCAAAATATGTGTTAATCAACTTTATGTTATAGGTAAAGTTTCCAGTCAACAGTAGGCTATTAGTAGTTAAGTTTTGGGGGAGTCAAAAGTTATATGCAATTTTCAATTGTGTGGGGGTCACTGATACTCCTAACTTTGCTCAAGGGTTGAGTGGTATAGCTTTGTTTAAGGGTCAACTTGTCTACCTGGTTGCACTAAATAGCTTGAAAAGATTGACTGAATATAGAAATGATTATCCTAAAAGTCTCCATGTCCTCAAGGAAACGTAGCCAATCAACATTTATGAGATACCCATATATGCTCTAAAATTAGTAAGTAGCAAAAAAATAAAATAAAAAAATAAAATTAGTAAGTAGCAATCCTTCAGATTTTGGATTAGATGAAAAGAATACTGTCTTAATGGTGAGGACTGTCAAGTGTTGTGGAATGGAACCAAAGAACAGGAAGATTGACATCCTGTGCTGAAAGCTTTAAAGAGGCTGAATTCACATCTGTCTTTGTAGGTGTATATGTGTTTCTGCCTGAGATGGATTAGATAGTCTCATATGTTTTTGTGATCCTGTGAAGTTCTACATATTCAAATTATAAATGTCTTTAGTGGGAATGTGCTCTTTTTTTTTTTTTTTTCCTTGCTGGGACTAAGCAATATACAGGATACACTGCTGATACAATGGAATCCATCTTCCAAGGAAATATTCTTCAAACTTTTTCAACCTGCCATACATTTTCAGATCTCTAAATTTTGCCTGTACTGGAGGGTTGGGAATAAGGGTGGGCAAAGACAGGATATTGTCTTCAGAACAAAAATTAATTGCATGCTGGCTAAGGTGATTATATGATTGCTTAAACAAGGACACTTAAAAAAAAACAGGCTTTCAAAAATGTTTTTGTTGAAGTCTAATCTACATGCAAAAATGTATATATATAATATATAGCTTGATGAATCTTCCCTCAGTAAATACCTATGTAACCAGCACCCAGATTGAGAAAGAGAATATTAGCAAGAAGATAGAAAAACCTTGTATGTTCCTTTCCAGTTACTATACCCCTCCTCACAAGGGCAACTACTATCTTGACTTTTCTTATTGCAGAGATGAATTTTGCCTATTTTTAGCTTTCCCATAATTTGAATCCATACAGTATATACTTGTTTATGTCTCATTTCTTGGCATCGACATTATGGGTTGATCCATATTGTTGAATGAAGTTGTAGTTATAGGTCATTCATTCTCTTTGTTGTGTATTATTCCATGGTGTAAATATATGACAATTTATTTATTCATTCTATTAATGATGGTAATTTGGGGAGTGTCTAGTTTTTGGCCACGACAAATGGTGCTGCTAATAATATTCTAGTGCATGTCTTTTGGTAAATGTGTACGTATTCCTCTGGAGCATATACCCAGGAGTAGAATTGCTGGATCATATAAGTTTAGCTTGAATAATTACTGCTGGTGTTTCAGAGTGTTTGTTGTCATTTAAACTCCTGTCAGTAGAACATGAGACCTCTCTGCCTGCTTTACATCCTCTCCAATACTTGGCATTTTTCATGGTTAGCCATTCAGATATATGATAGACATATACTCATTTGATTTTAATTTGCATGTCTCTGTTCACTAATGAAGTTGATATTTTGCTTATGTTTGTCTCTATTTTTGGATATAATTTTTTTGTAAAATACTTGGGTAGACTCTTTTGTCTATTTAAATCTTTGTGTGTATTTTTCTATTCCTTAGTCTTTTCTTGTCAAACTAAGACACACTTCTATGAAAAAAACAGATCATAAGATTAACAATTTAGTTTTGGATTTGTTGAGTCTGGGATATATGGAGGCACCTGTATAGAGACATCCTGAAGCTGTTGAGTTATGTGGGTGCGGAGTTCAGAAAAAAGTTCTGAGCTGGAGATATGAATTTTAGAGTCCCTGCCATGTGGGTAACATCTCAGTTAAAGAGTGAGGGAGGTCACCCACAGAGAAAAAGTCTTAGATCTGAGCCTGAGAGCCACCAGGGTTTGTTCATAAACTGGGAGTAAAGAAGATAAGGGCCAAATAGCCCAAGAAGGAACTCATGAGAGGCAGGGAAAAGGGGAGAAGCAGAAGCCAAGTAAAAAGGGTTTCATGGAAGGGGGGGTGTTCAGTGCATTGAAGTGTTCGACTGGTGTTGATTAAAAATAACAACACCACATTCTGTCCCCTTTCCTCCCTTTCTAGCCATCATCGTGTACAGACTGCCATGGACCTGGAAATGCAGCAAGCTCCTGATGAAATCCATCCATGCAGGGTTACACACTGTTGCTGCCATTCTCGTAATTATCTCTCTGGTGTCTGTTTTTGATTACCACAATGCCGGGAATATCCCCAACATGTACAGTCTACACAGCTGGGTCGGACTGACGGTTGTCATACTCTACATCTTACAGGTCAGTGTCTCAGGGTCTTTATAAACATAATATAAAAAGTCAACCAGCTCTGATACCTTAGATGTTTTCTGTATATTCATATTTCTTGGAAATCATCTTCTCGTTCCCCCAACTAGGCCATTTTGTTTCCATTGTAAGTATTCTTGCTTGAGGGGCCACCAGAACCACAGAATTCAGGCTTTAAGCTCTAGTGTGAGATTGTATTTATTTATTTATTTATTTAAAGATTTTATTTATTTATTCATGAGAGACACACACAGAGAGAGAGAGAGAGAGAGGCAGAGACACAGGCAGAGGGAGTAGCAGGCTCCATGCAGGGAGCCCAACGTGGGACTCGATCCCGGGTCTCCAGGATCACATCCTGGGCTGAAGGCAGTGCTAAACTGCTGAGCCACCCGGGCTGCCCACTGAAGACATTTTTATTAAGTTAAAAAGACATTAGTGCTTGCTACCTTTGTCATTCAACCTTCTTTTAGAGATTTTAGCTACAAAATAATTTTTAAAAAACTGTAAAAGTAATAGAGAATTTGTGACTTTTTTTCAGTTTGCAGATCATGTAATATATGCCTGGTAACCCAAGAGATGACTTGGGTAATAAGAGCATTTGGAAAAGTGGTTGGCTATGATAGCCATTCATAATTCAATAACTTTTGCTCAAACTAGAAACAACTACTTAAGTAGAATTCATTTATAATATGGATATATAAATTATACCTAGGAATAAAATGAACAATGAGGATATAAAATATATAGAATATGTAAAGTACTATGAAATCCTTTTGAGAAAACATGGTATAATTAGATACCATGTTAATAGTAGAGAAAAATTAATATAAGAGTATCTTTCACTCTTCAACCATATTTATGTTTAATATAATTCTGAGTTTAAGCCCAATGGGAGTCTTAAACTTGCAGAGCAAATATCCAAGGATAATCAAAAAAATTTTGAAAAAGAAGCAAAGGGAGACCTGCCTTATTAAAAACAAGTTATTAACATGAAAGTGAAAAAATATAGTCATGGAAAGAACAGAAAGGACAGAAACTGTCCAAGTACGTGTGAGAACTTTTCCTATGACACTATGGCATTTCAATTTAGTAGGGAAAGAATGCTTATTTAGTAAATATTACTGTCATAATTGGTTATCCATTTGGAAGAAACTAAAAAAAAAAAATCTGTCAGGTTTCTTAAGTTAAAAGTAAGAAGAGGAAGCAGTGTCTCTTTTTGAATCAAGACGAATTCAGGTGGAGGTTCTTGGAGCTGCCACTTGGGGGTGGAGAACAGGAAGTCCCACTTCCCTGGAGCAGCAGCAGCTGCTCCCTTGCTGCTCGCTTCCAAGGCCATGACAGCCTGCCCTTCAGACCCAGAGTTTAACTGTGTGCGGACCATGCACCGAGTATGTGAGGAGTTTGTGCTTCCACCCAAGAACAACTCAGAACCAATCCTACCACAGAGTATGAAGAGTGCGGGTGGGAGAGATTGGCAAGTTCAGATCGTCTTACCTTAGCATCGTTGGAGGTTGGCTTAGCTTCCATGTCTGGAATTATCTGCCAAGTGAAGCCAGTGTCTGGGTGGTTTCGGTAAATAAAGGAAGGAGGGAGGCAAAGAACAAAGGCTACAACCAGAAAAGGCTGAAAGGTCTTCCTTCTTCCTCATGTTTACCTATGGATTTTTTTTTTTTTTTTTTACCTATGGATTATAAAGCATTTCAAGTGTCGAATTCTTTTCTACTTGTGAGATGTAGCCTCTGGGGCATTTTAAAAAATAACAAACTACCAGAGGTCCAAACTGTACTCTCTCGGGTTGCATTCTCTGGATATCTGACCTCTGCTTCCCTCAGCCCGTTGCCAGGAAGGAGATAAGTGGTTCCTGAGATCCTTGAGCCTACCCAGGAAGGAGAGGGCCCATCTTTCCTGAGTCCATAGATTAAAATCAGCAAAAATGTATTTGGGTCCGCTTGTACCTTAGGTTTTCTCTTGACCAAGGCACTTGGGTTGGACCAGCTTGGATCATCTGATCTGCTGCCTGCCCCCTGCCCAATTCTCCAGCCCCAAAAATAGAATCACAGGAATGATTCCCCTACAAAGCAAAGATCCTATATATCTCTTTTGAAGAGGAAATTAATCTGAAATTTCTTAATGACAATCTCCCCCCAAATTTTGCTGACATATCTTTTCTTTTCTTTTCTTTTTTTTCATCTTTCTGAGATGTTTCTTCTCTCTACTTCCAAAGCATCTTCTTAGAATAGTTCTCAAAGTCTGATCCATGGAACTCTGGGTGAGGTGTGGGGTAACCAAGATTTTCAGGTGGTCTTTCTGTTCACAGCAGTTTCCATAATACTAAGATGGTATTTATCTTTGTCTCAGTTTCTTACAAGGGTTCAGGGGACTTTTCCAGAGGCTGCATTATGTGTGATATCCTATAAAACTGAAGGCAGACTGGGTGATGAGCATAAGGAGGGCATTTGATGGGTTGAGCACTGGTTGTTGTACTATATGTTGGCAAAAAGAATTTAAGTAAAATACTTAAAAAATTAAAATTAAAGTTAAAAGCGGGAAAAAAAAGACTGAATGCAGAGACAAATAGAGGAATCCAATGATCCACTATTAAAATGATTTACAAACATGCCACCTGGCTTGCTGTTTTTTTGTTTCACACCATAGAGTTATTTTTATGTAAGACATGTTATTTATGTAAATATGTAGTGAATTTATTATCATTGTTAAATGAATCAGTATTTTTTTTAATATTTTTTTTAATTTTTATTTATTTATGATAGGCACACAGTGAGAGAGAGAGAGGCAGAGACACAGGCAGAGGGAGAAGCAGGCTCCATGCACCGGGAGCCCGATGTGGGATTCGATCCCGGGTCTCCAGGATCGCGCCCTGGGCCAAAGGCAGGCGCCAAACCGCTGTGCCACCCAGGGATCCCATGAATCAGTATTTTTAGAGGTTTCAGCTTTAATTTCTAATATGATAAATACCAAAAGACTTAGTCCCATATAAATAAAAGCTCTTTGGGGTTCTCCATTTAAAAAGCCTTATTGTATGTATTTAGAAGTTACAAATCATGATAAAATTAACTGTTATGATTCCACCATCCAACCTAATTTAGAAAACAGAACCTCTACCCCTTCCTACCTTAATCCCATACTCTCTACTCACCTCAACGTCTAGGGGTAGCCATGCTCTGGAAGTTTTTCCATCATTCCCTGTTTTTCTTTATAATCTTACTGCATGCCATGAATCCCCAAACAAAATGTTTAATTTTGCTTTTTTACTATTTAAAAAATATTTTCTTGATATTCATATTCTGTTGCAACTGTTTTTCATTCTACCGATTCAACTATATTGATTCCTCTAGCTGTACTCATTTTTACTTTTGTAACCCATTATACAAGTATGTTATGAATTTACTTATCCATTCTCCTGCTATTTAGACATTTGGACTATTTTCAGTTGTTCTCTGTTACGAACAGTGCTATATTGAACATTCATGAACACATTTCCTGGACCTCAATGCAAAGGTTACTCTGGGTGTATATTCTTGAGTGGAATATATACTCAGCCTAAACAAGAAATGCCAAATCATTTTCCAGTTTGGTTGATCCCAGTGTGTACCTGCCAGCAGCATATAAGAGTTCCCATAAGGCATATCTTTGCTAACTTGCAAATAACATGCATCCTCTGCAAACTTTTTAATTATTGCCAAACTCGTGGGTTTAAAAATGATGTCCTCCTGTGGCTTTAATGTTTATTTCACTGGTTATTCCTGTTTCTCTTCTAAGAAATCTCTGTTTGTATCTTTTGTCCATTTGAAAAATGAGGTTTTTTTCCTTTTCCTTGAAGATTTATAGTTCTGTGTCAGATTCCTTTTCATTTATATATATTACTTATATATATCTTCTGGTTTGAAGCTTATATTTTCTCTTTTGTTAGTATTTACTGACAAATGGAATTCTCAATTTTAATGAAACAAATGAATCTTTTCCTTTAAGGCTATTATTTTTTATTTCGTTTTGGTAACTTGTTTGTGAGATCTTCCCCACTACTGAGGTCAAAACAAACCAGATTCTAAGGTTCTACTTCAGAACTGCTCAATCAGAAACTCTGGGTGAGGGGCCTGGCAGGATGTGCTCACAAGCCCTTCAGGTGATTCAGAAGCATGCTGTTTGAGATCAGTTTGCCTAAGAGAAAAGCTTGTCTGCTTTAATCTGTTAATATAATCAATTATGTCAGTCGATTTTTCTAATATTAAACTTGAGTGAATTAAAAACATTTTTAAATGTCTCAAGACTCTCTTTTGCTCTCTGAGATACTCAAGTTCTTCTCTTTAGTTGTTTTATTTGTGTGCTAACTAGGCTTCTCAGAAAGGTCATTTCACAACTTAATGACTTTTGTTAGCAGGAGGAAATCCAACCTCTCACTTCTTTCTTGCTCAGATCCAGAGAGCAAGTAGTTTTTAAGAACACAGGATTTGCACTCAGGGAGACCTCAGTTTGAATCAGGTCCCTCCAATTGTAGGGGGTGACCATAAGACAGATTATTGAACTTTTCTGAACTTAGTTTGCTCACCTACAAATTAAGGCTTTTGATACATCCTTTACAACATCATAATCAAAGCCAAATAATGCATGGAAATGCTTGCCTACGGCTTAGCATACTGGAGTGACACGAATCAGCTATTGTTATTAGAAGTATAAGTCTTGTGGGAGGCTCCTTTGTGACCTGAAGATGGCATTTAAAATTTTATTTCTATTATAGATCCTAGACACCTTCATGATTGAGAACATACATTTTATGTCAATAAAATTTTGTTCATTAGTCCATCAATTTATTCAACAGTTAAATACGTATTGTGTTTTAGATTCTTTGCTAGGCTGTAGGGGATGCATTGTTCCACAAGACAAGCATGGGAGAGAAAGGGAGATTGTGAATGTTGGGGTGAATCTATAGCTATGTCTCTGCAGGTTGCAAAGCCCAGCTGGAAAATCGAACACCAACTCTATTGTAATTGAAGGAAGGAGGGAATTGTTGGCTTGGGATGCTTTTTTTGGTTTGTTTGGTTCGGTAGCAGAAAAGTGAGACTCTGTTTTTCCCATGAGGTGGTAATAAAATCATCTGCTAGTAGAAGGCATAGAAGACAGCGAGTAGTTTAAGGAAGAGGGAACATAGAGGACCAGTTGAGAAGTGGGACAATAAAAAGATTGTTGAGCAGTATTGAAGTGCTCCTAACTGTAAACATCATAACCATGAATTTATAGTGATGTTATTTAACTCTAGTAGTACCTAGTAGACCAAAGATAGTCCTGAAGACGGCTGAGTCAGTACTGGGATGTTGCCAGGGAGATGGGATGCAAGACAGTATGGCAAGGAGATGTAGGATATTGACAGGGGAATGTAGTGTTCAATTGTGTATCGTCTCTCTTAATAAACAACTGTGGACATATTCTAGTTGCTGCTGATTAGATGTTTTAATCCCAGGAAGAAACATGCTTATAACATTTGGAAAATGGCCTAAGACAGGGCTTCTCAAAGTGTGGTCCCTAGAACAGCTTCGTTAGCATCACCAGAGAAATTAGAAATACAGATTCTTAAGTTCCATTCCAGACCTACTGAATCAGAAACTCTAGGGATGGGGCCCAGCAATATGTGCTTTAAGTGCAGGAATGAGTGAGTATATAAAATAGCAGAAAAACAGAGAGGACCTCCATATAATAATCTGTAAATCATTTGATTGCTCATTAAATCCAACTTTACGGTTAAAAAAAGAAAAAGCAAATCATACCTAATAAAAAAGCTAGCTAGGCAGATATTTCCTAGTTTCATTAATGTTGTTTGCAAATAAAAGCTTTTTTAGGTCTCAGAGTTCATACATATATTTTTTTAAACTCATTTGTTTCATAAAGTGAGATAAAACTGGAGTAGTAAAATACATTCGTAAATGAGCAGATAATAATTAGTAATTAACTGAGAAAGCCCAGGTATTTACTATAGGAACTTTAAAAGTAAACTTTTATTGTCTATTTCCAATTATAAAAGTAATATAAATACACATTAATTTTCAAATTTATAAAATACAGAAAAAATAAAGAAAAAACCAAACATCATTGATAATGCCATAATCCAGACATATCATATATTTTGTTTTATTTCCTTCAGGCATATATTATGCCTATGAATATACATTAAAAAAATTTTTAATGTAATTGGGATCATACTACATATTCACTTTGATATCAAAATAATAATTTTTAAATGAAATTTTATTCTTCTTTAGCTCTCTTAAGAACTCCATTGTGGTGAAGAACAGCTTTCTGTAGGTGACGGTTCCTAAACACTGGAGCACTTTGTTTGCCAATAGTTGGCTCTTAATACATGTTTGAGAGTGAAAGTAATGGAAAATTCCACTGCCTTCACTTTTAGGGGGTTTTCTAGACTGCGGTTAACCCATATCTCTGAAACAATTCAGGTGAATCAAAAGCAGTGGCCTTCAAACTTTAACATGTATTAAGAATTGCCTGGGCATTCTGTTAAAAAGCAGATTCCTCGGCCCAACTTGCAGAAGTTCTGATATAGCAGATTTGGATATGTCCCAAGGGATCTCTTTAAAGAAAGGTGCAAGTGTTTCTGATGCAGGTCTTCTATGAACAACAACACTTCAAGAACCACTGACTTAAAAGGACAAAACTGTTTTGTTTCAGTCCACTAGGTTTTAAGCTACCATACTGCTTGTAAGATGGTAAGGCTAAGATGGTAAAAAGGAAATTAAGAATGATTATTATGAATTATAAATCTTTGTAAGTTGTTATAAATTTGCATCATTTGGAACACTTTTAATCAAAGTTAAGCATTCTGTAATTTTTTCCTTTCCTTTTAAAACTAATTTTCTTTTGCCAAAAAATACATTTTTTTTTAATAGTGAAAATAGCATTATAAGGGGAGTTAAATTGCGTGGGGTTCTGTAAGCCAATTTCTGGCAACCCACCTGTTTAGGTCATTGAACCCTACAGGATTACAAGAGGCACACAGGATTTCCTTAAATCCTGAAAGAAATAAGAGAAAACAGAATCTTAGGAATGAAGAGTCAAGAGAACAGAAATATGGAAAATATGTATTTCCATGAGCAAGTCACATAAAAAGTGTGATGACTTTACTCACAGAGTGTATACACGCTGAATCTTTGGTGGCCACTTACCTGAGCCCCCTTTTCATGGAGAAAGCACAACCTGAACATCAGGATGCTTGCCCTTTGATACTAATGAAATCACTAAATGTCACTGAAGGAGAATTAATGACATTCTGAACCACCAAGGGGGACCCTCTGTACCATTTCTTATACACTCAGGCATTTGTGGCAATGAGTAGACAATAAAATATGCACACCAGCCTATCGAATGCATTTTTTAACTTCCATTCTTTACCATGTCCCAGAAATTTATTCTAAATGTGTTTTAGGGTTTCACACCCTTTCTGCCTTCGTTCTTCTGGTGTCCCCCAGAAGTCCTTTGATCTCAGTCAGGAAAGATGAGCCGTGATGTTGTGTTTCTCCGTGTTCTCCCTACTTCTCATACTTGTTTGGTTTGGGTGGTAGGTCCAAGGTAAGCACCTGAAAAAATGCCTCTTTAGATTCAGTAGCGTAGTGGCCACTAAATTATCTTCACTCTCTTGGGGAGAAGAGAACAGTTAATGGGCTGTGGGACAAGAAAACAAATTGAAAGTGTCACCACACATCACTTACATAGGAACCTTGCTGTCCTCTGCAGAGAAGCATCCCATGAGGGATTTAATTGTCAAGGAATTGGAGATAACCTCTCTGCAGAATTCATTATTTCCTCATTAAACAAGATTGTCAGCCTCTTGACACATACCATTTTAGGTTGAACTGACTAAATGTGTCCTATCGTATTTGGTATTAGTGACTTGAAAATCTTTACTTCCTTTTCTACTTGGAAATAGATAAAAACAAACAAGAAGGTACCAGAATGTTCACTGTAGCTTTGTTAATGATCAAAAAAAAAAAAAAAAAAAAAAAAACAGAAACAGGAAGGGCCCCTGAGTGGCTTAGTGGTTGTCTCCCTTGGGCTCAAGTCGTGATCTCTGGGTCCTGGGATCAAGTCTTGCATCAGGATTCCTGCGGGGAGCCTGCTTCTCCTTCTGCCTATGTCTCTCCTTCTCTCTGTGTGTGTCTCTCATGAATAAGTAAATAAAATCTTAAAAAAAAAAAACTAGAAACAGGAATATCCATAGAGAACTGAGTAAATTCCCAGAATTTGGCCATTAAAAAGAATAAACCAGATGCACATATGTTAACGTGAAAAGATCTCTAAGACATACTATAAAGGGAAAAAAGAAAGGTGCAGAACAAGTATGTATGTTAAGATGCCATTTACACTTTAAAAAGTCTCTTTTTGTACACACACAGACACACACATGCTTGTATAGGCATAGGGTTTTCTGGAAGGATATTTGAGAAAGTGGTAATAGGTGTTGCCTTTGAGTAGTTGAACTGAAGCAGAAAAATGAACTTTTCATCTTATGCCCTTGTTTCTATAGGAAGGCTTTTCCTTTTGCACATAATTGTTTTTATAATAATAATTTTAAAAGTAGTTAAAGCTTAAGTGATAACCTTTGTTCTTGTTGATGTTCAGCTTCTTCTAGGTGTTCTCGTCTTTCTGCTTCCTTGGGCTCCACTTTCACTCCGAGCACTTGTTATGCCCATGCATGTTTATTCTGGGCTTCTCATCTTTGGAACAGTGATTGCAACGGTACTTATGGGAGTGACTGAGAAACTGATCTTTGGCGTGTAAGTTGCATAGTTTTCTTAATGTTATATTTGAGCTATAAAATGTTAAATACTTATTCATTGGAAAGATGTGATGTAAACATAACAAAATTTTTAATTTTAAAAATGTATTCAGGGATCCCTGGGTGGCTCAGCGGTTTGGCGCCTGCCTTTGGCCCAGGGAGCGATCCTGGAGACCCGGGATCGAATCCCACGTCGCTCCCGGTGCATGGAGCCTGCTTCTCCCTCTGCTTATGTCTCTGCCTATGTCTCTGCCTTGTCTCTGCCTCTCTCTCTCTCTCTCTCTGTATGACTATCATAAATAAATAATTTAAAAAAATAAAATAAAAATGTATTCATTAAACATGTAATATAGCATTAATAATGCTTGGAAGAAGTATAAAAAAATCCAAAAAAAATTATACCACTCCTATAAAACAACTAGTTTTGAAGTTACACATGCCCTTTTACTCTTTCTGATGTGCATGTTTTTTATATTAATTGTAATTATGATGCACCTACATTTTTGTATCATCCTTTTCCCAATTTTTAAGTGCTATATTATTTTCAGACTTTAAATTTTTAACAATTTTACACTATTTCAATTGAGTTTTTTTAGCATATCTTAGTTTCTCCTTAATATCAAACTTCAAGGGAATTTACATAGAAGGTGTGTCAGTGTGCTTTTTCTCAGCAGATAAATTCAAGACTGTTTGACATGTTGTATCACCCTATTTGTAATTGAACACCCTTTCTCTTTTTTGTAGTTCTGGATACAGTACGTTCCCACCAGAAGGTGTTTTCGCAAATACCCTCGGCCTCCTGAATGTGGTATTTGGGGCGCTCATATTTTGGATAGTCACCAGACCACAATGGCAACGTCCTAAAGAACCAAATCCTATCCTTTTTCAGCCAAATGGAGGCGCTCGAGAGGGAGCAGAAGGCTCAGCAGTAAACTTCAGCCATGTCGACCAATCAGATTCAAAATTAAACAATGAAGTAGCAGCAAAGAAAAGAAACTTCTCTGTTGATGAGGCTGGACAGAGATCTACCATGTAAAATGTTATAGAGATTTGGCCATGTAACTTCACTTTTGAAAACTAGCTCTACAGTTTAGCTTCTCCTGTTTAGCCCCCAAGATGATTGAGCTCTGCAGAATCAATATTTATTTTACTCATAAAGTAGGATTCCTTTGAAGAGTTGGTATTGATTAAGGCCTATGAACTTACCTAAATTGGAAAGGAGATGATCAGTGTACATAATAGAAGATATAAATTGTGGTTATGTTACCTTTCTTGAGGATCTTGCATAGAAGAGGTGATCAAAATGTGTCTCTCAAAAAACAAACAAACAAACCAAAAGCAGAAACAAAAATGTGTCTCTCAGTTGGTAAATTTCATTAGTTGTCAGCATCTCTGGTCTCTTGTCATGCAGTCATTTCTTGTTAATTCTGAGAATCCAGTCCTAATGTTTTAGAATCAGATCTGGGGCAGGGTTTATGCTACACAGATAACATGAGTGGAGTACAGAAAAAAATTTAGGAAAGTAACTTGTTCTCTTCTCTCAGCACCTGTCTCCTGCTCTCTCCCCAACTAGTTTGGTCTCAGATTTGCCTTGGAGACCAGGATTTCTATTAGAGCATTTGGGAGCTGTGACTGAGCCAGAGATAGCTAAAGAGATCTTTTCTTGTCACACCTGGAAGTTTTTCTGAAACTCAGCTTTGTCCCAAAGCTTCTGTGGGGTTTGGTGCACTTTATAACTCAGATTCTAAACCTAATTAGAATGGAATATGCCTGAAAACTTATGTAGCATAAACTGCTTCACACCCTCAAAGAGCACTTTTCCCCAAGTTTCTGTTTTTATTTTAGAAAGTACTTACTTGGCACTTACTACATGCCAGACACTGTTCTAAGCACTTTTTAAATATTAACTCATTCAATCCTCAAACTTTACAGGTTAGGTACTATTATTATCTCCATTTTACAGCTGGGAGATCTGAAGCTGAGAAAGGTCAGTAACTTCCCCCAAGGGCATATAGCTCATCAGTGGTTGAACTGAGATTTGTCTCTTGGCTGTCTGACTTCTCAGTTCATGTCCCTAACCACTTCACTCTGCTACATTTTTCTATTATATACTAGTTTGTATGTACTTGGACTCACCGCTCGATAAATCCCAATTGCTGGAGTGCAGTAGAGTTGTTAAAGTTTACCCTCTGGCTTTTTCCAAGGCAGATTAACCAAGGAAAGGTAAATAACCAAGGAAAGGGGCCCGCCCACACCTGTAAATAGAGATGGCACCCTGCCGCAGCCAACATGCCATGGCCCAACTTGATGCCCCTTTGATCTTAAAACTATGTCTTGGTAATAGAAGAGACTCACGTCATGGTCTGCTCTTCCCAGTGGCAACAGCTAAGGCCCTTCCTGATTTTGGTGGAGTTTTAGGGGATATCTGGAGCTTTGGGTTCTTAGTAGGGAATTGAGACTCAGAGGTGACATCTTTTGTGCATGGAGACCTCTGTCTAGATTCTGGGCTGACTTAAATTAAAACTTAGAGTAGTGAGGTGCCTGGGTGGCTCAATCTGTTGAGTGTCTGACCCTTGGTTTCCGTTTAGGTCATGATCTACTGGGTCATGGGATTGAGCCCTGCCTCGGCTCCGTGCTCAACAGGGAGTCTGCTTGAAGATTCTCTCTCCCTCTGCCCCTCCCCCCACTCTTGCATGCACATGTGCTCTCTCTCTAAAATAAAGAAATCTTTAAAAAATATCTAGAATAGTGCTTATGCTGAAATGATGCTTTTCTTTTTGGTTTTGTTTGTTTTTGGTTGTTGTGGGTTTTTGTTTTTGTTTTTTGTTTTCTGGTTTCTATGCAATTTTAAACTGGACCCTTTTAATGTGGGTTAAAACTTTACAGTTTACACCAAACACTCTTAACCTTTTTGGTGCTTAGTGGAGTTCTTTTTAAGTTAAGTGGTAATTACCTCAGACTGAATATGAGCTTCACTCCAACATATCCATTAAGCTTCACAGCTAACCATTAAAGATTCCCTCACCAAGACACTCTTCTTAATTCTATTTCCAAAATTGATAAAGGTGTCATAAGTATGCCTAGTGCCTGGCTCAATGCCTGGCACATAGTAGGCACAATTAAATTCAGTATAGGTAGAGCATGCTACAATTTTGGTGTCAGGTAGAAGGAGTAATTGTATTGTCACACACAAACATATTTTTGATAAATGGATGTTTCTTTACATAAAGGTGCCCAAAATTCCAGTTTTTTAGGGGGAAACGGGTCTGCGATAGCACCAATGATCAAAGCTGCCATTCCATTTTACAAAGGCCAAGGAAGAAGTTACTAGTGAAAAGTTAATTATGGATTTGGTGTGAGAATATTCTACTCCGTTGCAAAGTATTTGAGCACTCATCATCTCAGCCCTTTATTTTCCCTTTCTTGTGGGCTAATGTGAGAGCAATCTGGTGGATATTATAAGAACTTCCTTCTCACCTTTATGAAAACAATGCATAGTAAAATATATCTAGAAAACCTTTCTGAGACTCTTCTTTTAATGGGCTTTTTATTCTAATGGTAATTGTACCTTTATCTTTCAAAAGCTGGTATTTCCTACCTAAAGGCATCTCTCCCCAAAATATCTCATTAAAAAGTCCACAAAAAGAAAAAGGGAGAAGAAAGCTTTAGGTATCATTTCCAAAACAGTGATTGAAATCTTCCCAAATAATTATAGCTTGTATCATCAGCAGCGGTAGTCTGGCTTGGCTTACCCCATAATCTAATTTCGGGGCGGGGGGGGGGACTTTATTTTAACACTCCTCTAAATCAACACTAAAGCCTTTTCTCTGGAAGGGCTTCTTGAGAAACTTAAATGAATATGCTTTTTGAATTAACGTTCTCGAAAGTGTACAGCTTCCTGTGCTTCTCAGTGGCAGGCTTGAATTCACCCTCTGGAACACTTTCCTTTCCTTTCTTTGTGTGGTTTCATTTAATCTGTGCTGGTTAGAAACAGCATCTCAGACCTTAACAATCAAATGACAAAGAAGGCAACTGGACTTTTTAAGTAATACTGACAAATGGTTTCTGTTTTCTAAAGGACAAAATAAAGAGGATGTCTTGTTTTTAATTAGGCTCTTTTCCCTGCTGAGCTGAAAATTGCGGTGACATCCCGGTTGACCACAACTGCCGAATCTAAAAGCTCAAAGAAAGAATTAAAGTGTTATGCTAATTTTATTGCAGTATGATAGAATTTTTATCTTGTTATGTCCTTTCTTCGATAACTCTGACAGGAAACTGTAACGGCTATGTCTCAGAGCTGCACATAGGAAAGTATGGAAAAATGAAAACTATTATTCTTTATTCCTTACAAGATTCCTGAAAACTTTTAAGTGGAAAAGATTACTATATGTTTGATCTTGCCTTCTTTGGGAAAAATATTAAGTAGCCCAAACACTTTATAACTTTGTAGAAAAAATATGCATCTATTTTTTCTTGACCTGGTTTTATACAGTAATAAAAGTTATTTTGGAAGCTATTTGTGTGTGTTCACCATTTGTCCAGGCTGCAAGGTGTGGTTATTGTTCTGAAAGTTTCTGTCCCGTGGTTTTTTGCTTGTTTCCTTGTGGAAAGAACATTTTTTAAGTTTTATTGAAGTGCAGTCAGGGTTTTTTTTTTTTTTTTTTTTTTTTTCTTTTTAATAAAGTGTACTCTGACTACCATACCTTTTCCATTGCTGGAAGGATGAGAGAGGATGGTTTCAAAACTGCCGTGGTATTCTCTGGGCCGGATCTGAACTGGAGCCGTCCTTTAGTGCAGAAGGGACCCATAGGTTTAGGCAACCAAAGCAGATTCAGTTTAAGCTGGAACAGCGTGGAAGGAGCACATATTTTAAAAGCCAGTTATTACAAAACTCTGTGTTTGCAGTAACTCATCCTTGAGAAAGTACATAACTCACTATGGGTGAATTGTTGGATTTTTTTTTTCCAAATAAGAAAAAAGAGAAGTCATATCTAAGTAGTGCCAATACTCGTTCAATCTTAATTTAACTACTCATTTAGCCTTTTTTCACCTACTTTTTGTCTCCTGAGAAATGTTTTTTTTTCCTTTTTTTCCTTTTTGTCTCCTGAGAAATGTTAATGGTATTTTATATTGTGTAGCTGTAATAACACTATAATATTATATATACTGTTATGCAAGAGAGCTATAATATTGTGAATTGAATTTTTAGTTACAACATCGTTTGTCATCAATTTATATTATTGATTTCAGGGGTGTTGGATTTTATTTCAACTTGATCTTAATTGGCAAGTACTTTTGGTAATTTATAAATATATGACTCAAGTACATTAACATGTAATTTTATATTTGTTAGCTCATTTAATTTAATATGCAGTTGTAATGGACAATTACATTGTGTGCCATGCCCAGCCTTCCCTACCACAGCTCCTTTTTACTGACTACATATCACCTGTGTTTCTTTGGCCACAGCTAATTGGATGAGAGTGGGAGATAACACATCACCTGTACGCAGCCCATCCATAGCTGACCAATGCATAGTGAAGTGGCCTGGTATGAAATGAAAATGTCCTCTTTCATTTTATTTCAGATTGAAGAATGAGAATTTCAGAAGATTTTGGTTCTCTCCTTTCTAGGAACGTGGAATTGGGAAAACCTCAAGATTAAGGCAGGGACAACAGAAGTTAATGGAGCTCTGAGGAGATCTAGATCAGTGATTAGGAAACTGCCTGTAAAGAGCCAAATAGGTTTTGTGGACCACATGGTTTCTGTGGCAACTCCTCAACTCTGCCATCGTAGCCAAAAGAGGCCACAGACAATAGTAAATGAATGAGTATGACTATGTTCCAATAAAGCTTTATTTACAAACAGTGGTAGGCCATATTAATCCCATAGGCCAAAGTTTGCCTGCCATTCCCTGGTCTAGACCATGAGGTAGGGCCATGATAGTGCATGACGGGCTGAAATGGTAAGAAATCAAGAACTATGTGGTAAAGAGAAAATACCTATGGGGTAGAGAGGAAGAATTGGCAGGTGATAATAGGAAACACAAGTGGGCAGTGGAGTAGTCTTGGGGAGGGTGGCCAGCTCAAATTAGTGGCAGGTACTAGAATGAAGACCCATGATCCTGCTGACGGTTCCTCAGGGCTGCAGTGGATATGGTTCCATTGGAACTGCTCCCCTGGGAATTATGGGAGATCTCGGTATCTTTTTTGGCCCTAAATAGAATTCAGTGCATTAAATACCATGACTCCTGCTTTACAAACAAGGACACTTAGGTTCAGAACAGTTAAATGATCGGGATGCCTGGGTGGCTCAGTGGTTGAGTATCTGCCTTCAGCTCAGGGTGTGATTCCTGAGTCCTGGGATCAAGTCCCTCATCAGGCTTTCTGCAGGGAACCTGCTTCTCCCTCTGCCTATGTCTCTGCCTTTTTCTCTCTGTCTCTCGTGAATAAATAAATAAAATATTTTTAAAAATAGAGAAAGAAAGATTAAATGCTTGCTCAAGTCAACCCTGGTGAGCAGCAGTCAAAATATACACACAGGCCTTCTGACTCTTAACTTCAGAATGGTTTTCACTATACCCTTGACTCAACACTTCAGTGTACTCACAAGTCGCTACCTAACAAAACTTTGTATTCTAGAAAGCAAAGACTGATATTGTAAGATAAACCACAACTATTCGTTTATAAATGCTTAATGTTTTTAACAAGGCAAAGTGGAAACTCTGATATGCCATCACAATAGATAATCTCCAAAGATGACTGTCATCAATTCCTCTTTTCCTGTATGCACACATGGCTCCTTATACCAGGATTGAAGTCTATTTCCTCTTCCCTTGAATCTGGGCTGAGCCTTTGGCTTCCTTTACCAATGGAATGCAGAAGCGACATTCTGAGAATCTGAGCCCACACTTTAAGAGAACTCACATTCTACTTCCTGCTCTTGGAGTCCAGCCAGTATGCTGTTGAGGAAGTCTGGAGTAGGCCACCAAAAGGCCACCCAAAGAGAGAGCCTGGAGAATAAGAGGTCATCTTGGATGTTCCAGCCCCAGATGAGCTCAGATGCATGAGAGATACCAAATGAGATCAGTGGAACTAGCCAGTGGGGCTCCAGTCAACTCACAGAATCATGAGAAATTATAAATTATCCTTATTGTAAGCCACTGTGTTTGGGGGAGGTTTGTTAGGCAGCAGTGGATATAATACACCACTTTTATTTTAAAAATCTTTTTAAAAAATATTTTATTTATTTTTTCACAAGACACACACACACACACACACACACACACAGAGGCAGAGACACAGGCAGAGAGAGAAAAAGCAGGCTCTATGCAGGGAGCCTGATGTGGAACTTGATCCTGGGACCCTGGGATCATGACCTGAGCAGAAGGCAGATGCTCAACCATTGAGCCACCCAGGCTCCCCTCCATCTTAAACGTTTATATGTTTCAAAATGTTGCAAACATCAGGAAATTGGAATGGGTAGACAGTTCACTATCATGGAGGGAAAGCATTCAATATTCTATCATTGACTATGTCATATATGACCTTCAGCAGGTTGTGAAATTTTAATTTGCTGAGATTTTTTTTTTAAGATTTTATTTATTTATTCATGAGAGACACAGAGAGAGGCAGAGACACAGGCAGAGGGAGGAGCAGGCTCCTTGCAGGCAGCCCAATATGGGACTTGATCACGGGACTCTGGGATCATGCCCTGAGTCGAAGGCAGACACTCAACTGCTGAGCCACCCAGGCGTCCCAAATTTGTTGAGTTTTTTAAAGCCATGAATTAAATATAAGTTAAGTTATGTCAAATTATTTTTCTGTATCTACTGACATAATCACAATCATATTGTTTTTCCTCCTTAATTCTGTTAATATGGTGAAATACAATGATTGGTTATGAATACTGAACCAATTTTGTATTCTTGTCATAGGTATTTCAACTACATATGTTATAAACCCATAATATAGAATTAAAAGTTTTGCTTTATATATTCATATATAATTTAAAGAAATAAAGAAGTACTGTACTGTTGCTCAGGCCATATTCCAAATGTAAAAAGTCTTCTCAGCAAAAAAAAAAAAAAAAAAAAAAAAGGAAAGAAAGGAAGAAAATGAAATGAAGAAGTAAAAAAACCCAGCCTTTTAAAATTTACTCACATACTTACCATTTCCAGTATTCATCACCCTTCCTGAAGTCTACATTTCCAATTGGCACCATTTACCCTCCTGTGGAAGAATTTCCTTTAGTGTTTCTTTAGTGAAAGTCTGCTAATGAGGAAGTCTTCTTGTCTTCATTTTTCTAAAAATACCTACATAATTTTCATTTTTGAAGAATATAGTCACTGGATATAGAATTCTGGGTTGGCAGACTTTTTGTTGCAGCACTCTAAAAATGTCCTTCTGCTGTGCTCTGGCCTCAATAATTTATGATGCTAAAACAGTAGTCCTTTGTATTATTGTTCCCTGGGATATAATGTGTCTCTAGTCCTAGCTGCTTTCAAGATTTTCCCTTTATTTTTGGCTTCAGCAGTTTAATCATGATATATCTGGGTGTAAGCTTTTTTTTTTTTATCATACTTTGAGTTCATTGAGCTTCTTGAATCTATAAACTGACATATTTTATCAAGTTTGGGACATTTTTAGCTGTGATGTCTTCAAATATTTTTCTGCCCCATTCTCTTTTCATTTTAGAATTCCACTTGTAATGTGTTGGACTTTTTGATATTGTTCCTGGGTCATTGAGGCTCTCTCAATTTTTAAAAGTTATATACATTTTTAAGTAGATGAAAGCTCAAGTCATTTCACATTTCTATAGATATTTTATATTCCCTTTACTTTTAACACTTTTAATTTTGAAATAACTATAGATTTACAAAAAGTTGCAAAGGTAGTAGAATGTTTTGTATATTTTTGATCAAGTTTGCAACAATGATTACATTTTACCTAAGTATAACATAATATAAAATTGACATTGGTATAATGTGTGTATATAATCTATGATAGTTTATCATGTGTAGATTTGTGAAACCACTACCACAATCAAGATACAGAACCCTTGCATCACCACAAAGATCTTGCTCATGTTACTCCTTTATATTCACACCCACCATCTCTCCCTCCAGACCACTTAAATCCTTTTACCCTCCCCATTTATAACATAATTGTCTTAAATATTTCCTCTATCTTTTGAGAATCATATCAAATAGTATTATAATTTTTGCTTCAACCATCAAAAAAAATTTAGAAAACCCATTAATGAGAAAATTTGTATCTGCCCCATATATTTACTTTCTTCATTGTTCTTCTTTGCTGATGTTCCAAGATTCATTTCTGTTTAGAGAACTTTTGTAGCTATTCTTTTAGGTTAGGTCTGCTGGCAACAAATTCTCTTAGTTTTCCTTCATCTGAGAAGGGCTTTATTTCCTCCATTCCTGAAAGATCTTTTCAGTGAATATGGATTTATGGATTGACACTTTTTCTTTCAGCACTTGAAAAATGTAATGCCATTCTT